AACTTGTCACTTTTCCAACTTCCACGCGAAACAAAACGTTCATATTTAAATTGTAACTATATATACAACTGGAGGAATAAAAAAAAAAAAAAAACGCTGAAAGCGCGAGAACAAGGAGACGTTAACGAGGCACTGCAGCCAAGTGCGAATAAATGTACGTATATATATATATATATATATATATATATATATATATATATATATATATGCGTGGATGATTTTAAACGAAGAGTCTCAAATCAACGCCAACAGCCAGCAATTTACTCGCTCTCCCGGGCAAGCATACTTACGAAAATTCCAGGAGGAAAAGGAGGAGAAAACCATCGCGGATACTATATTTTCAATCGCAATAAAGTACGAGACCTGCATTGTCCAGTAGATGCCGAACATCAATCAAAAGCCTTTGGCCGAAAAGGCACATGGGTGTAGTAAGTATCGAGAAGAAGAGTCCGGCGCGAATAAAGGAACGGGTCGCCGTGTCATTGTTCGTGTATATGTACCTACTGGTGACTTGCTCTCTCTCTCTCTCTGGTAGACACACAGTGGTAGCGAGCTACGTGTGGGTATCGCAGTGCGAATCAAGGCTAACAAGAGAGAGACGGGGCAGGAAAGAGAGGAAGAAAGAAAGAGAAAGAGACGTAACGCGCACGAGACCTCGAGAGGAATCTACATGCCTATAATATAGTGTGCCCGCGGCGTCGCGCGCGAGAGTTTGGCGCCGAGTGCGATTGACGAGGAGGTTTCCTTTCTTACGTTTTTTATGTGTGTACCCTCACGTCGGATTCCCACTCGTATACATATACATATCTGAGTCACGGAGAGTTGACTCAACGTTTGCCGGGAGCACTGAGAGACTCGTTGCGTTTTTTTTTCCCCCTTTCTTTCTTTCTTCTTCATATCAACGCGTATAGTAGGACCATTAAAATTTCGGTCGCTCGTAGGAGTGCTCTTTTTGAGAGTCTGCTCTGTCGAGCCTTATTGGGACGCTGCAGTGTTTTTTTATGAGAAAAATTGATTGCCGACCTCAACTTTCGAAAGTTTCAACCGTGTTGACTTTGTATACGTGTACCATAGCAATTGGCGAGTACGGCTACCGATATAGTGATTTACGTCTCTCAAACTTTAACTACGTGCACGCATATTGAATACCAAACTCCGAGGTGACTTTCATCTCTCGAGGAGGTGCTTAATCGTGACACGGGTTTATTGATAAACTACTGAATCGTGTCATTTTTACCATCGAAACAACCGATTTTTGTCGGTGAAAGAAATTTGAATCTGTTTCCCTCGAACGCAATGGATGCACCGTACAAAGTACATCGAGTATCTTATTTTCAGAGGGTACATTAATTATTCACAAAACAATCACTCATATCAGATTCTACGAAAACAACGACGATGTTTTTACGGTTTCACCCATGAGTTGTTATCAGCGGCAATCGGATCATCAAAACGATGGATGGGAAATTCTCTAAAAAAAAAGAAGAAAAAAAAAACAGCCACTATTTAGAACAATCGCCTGCCATCGTCTTCAGGTTCATCTCCATCGGGCGGTAGGTATTTACATTCAAAAGACAATCGAGTATCATCGCACGCGAGTCATTACTCTTAATTAATGAAAGATCACGATGACAATGGTAAAAGACCCTCCCCGACTTTGTTTTTTCGCGGACCGGCAGCAGCGACCGAGACGAATGAATCACTGGCGTCGGACGAGATCCCATTTTCATATTATATATACCTACACAACACGCACGAGTAAAATCAAAATCAACCGGGGAATTCCTCATCCGCGTGTATGGGTACTCTATTATTCCATTAGGCAGAGCGTCTTTTTTTTACTACAACTTCGCAACACGCGAGGGAAAGGAACAAATAAACCAGAAGTGCTTGTTTCCATTGTATTGTTATGTCGCAGGTGTACATAATATACACTTTACGATGCAACCGTGGGAGGTAAAACAATCATATGTTATATTTTTCTCACCTCCATACGTGCCTGTACTCGATTACGACCAATTTTAATGAATCTGTGAGTTTTTTGATTAATTTGATGGAGTCATAAAAAAAGATTTCATAAGACCTCCCTATAAGTTTGCTTCACCACGCGCAAGTACGAAGCTGTCAATTGGCGATTTCGATGTATCATCCGCGGCTATCGATCTCCCGCAGAACCCAAAATCCACAATATACCGTCCTCGTAAAATACCTAGATACCTACACGCGCTTCAACTCCGACATAACAAGCCGGCCGTAAATAACGCCCGATTTAATAAATATACCTTCCTCGATAAATCCGAGTCGCAAGAAACAAAAAAAAAAAAAAAAAAAAAAAAAAAGAAAAATTTAACTAGCTCGACAAACCTGCTCAAAGCCCTAGGTACAGCCATCCACCCGGCAACCTACGCACCTAATAGAAACGTGCATCCGGCGAGCAGATGGTCGCGTTAACCCACTTTGCGATACTAATTAATGGGATGGCACTCTCTCGGTGGGCCGAAAATATACAAACAACACAAGGGATGGGTCGACGCACCGGCGTGCCCGAAATACCGCGCGTCATATCCCCGCGGCAGAGCATCGACATATATATTTATAGAGGCCGCGTATACCGGCGCCGAAAAATAAACGAAAGATATTATCGGCTGCATCTCTTGGCCGAGCGTTGCTCGTTCGTTTTGATCCGTTTACGCCGAAACGAGGGAGGTTGCGTTCCCCCCGGGGATCGGGGTCAGGGATACAGGTACGCGCGAGGCTAAGCAGAAAATGGCCATGTACGAGGGGGACATGGCTTTGGTGAAGGAAAAAAAAAAACAACGAGAAGGTGGAATTTCGTGCTAATGGTGAAAGAAAGGAAAACACACGCGTAAACGGGGAGATAATCGAAGCGTCAATTAGCACCGATGAAAATCGGTACACGCGTGTGTAATTGCGCTTATCTTTGACGTTGGATGCCGGTCTTTCCCAGAAAGCTCGTCGCGCGCTCAATTTATTCATCCCATGCGTATAATCGGCTCTCCCGATCGCTCACGCAAGACGGGATCCATTGGCTAGAGATTATCGCGCTCGATTTGCCGAAATCTCATCTCCCGGCTTCGCTTCGCGTTAACTTTGAAACGCGTTCGCGGAAAGAGGTATTATACTTTACATTGCAAACGCGCCCAAGAGAGGGAAAGAACTTCCGCGAGAGGGGCATAGAGCAAAGTGGTACAGGAAATCTGAAAGTCATTAGAACGAGAGAGAGAGAGAGAGAGAGTGTCCATTTTACAGCGTGTGGCGCCCGTAACTTTGTATTATGTTTAATGACGTGCGTATGGGCTGGCGCGCGAGGTGGGGAGAATTAATGAGTTTCCGAGCTAATTTCCATCTAATGAGCAGGAAAGCTCGAGTTTCTCTCTTCTTTTCTTTTTTTTCCCGGCGCGTGTAACACTCGTGTTGCAGGAAGGAGGTGCACGGTGCCGTGGAAAATTCAACAGAGGTGAAAAGTTGTTCCGTCGTGTCCGATGGGCTAAAATGGAATTTCAACTTTTCACGGTGTCAAGGAGGAGGGGCTGGAATTTGTTCCCCCCCCCCCTCCCCCGTACAGATTGATGATGTATATACATTACATGTTCCGGGGGTTTTCTCCCTCTCTCTTCCTTACTTTGTGATTTTTTCTTTTTATATTTATTTTTGAAAATGAAGTTTGACCAACTTTTGCTTGTGACTCAGGCAAAGTTAAACGCCGGAGGGCACACCCTCCAACTTTTTTCGTTATCCAAATCCCCTTTGCTCTCAAATTGCAGCATATATATAATATACCGAGCCGTACGTCATTTAACTTTGTTTGTCGTCTCGAAACTGCTCGGTAAATATATTTTGTTTAAAAATTCAACTAATTAATCAGTTGATTAAATTAACGCATCGCATTTGGTTCACCTCAACGAGCAAACCCCCGTTGAAGACCGTCGATGCAACGAAACGTCAAGGCGGGGATTTCCTGGCGTCGCGTCGAAATCAGTAGTAACAGCCGATTACGGTAAGCCACGGAAGATACGTCGAGAATTGCAATGTGACAAAACCTTCGCAGCGAGCCTACTTATTTTCAGCCACTCCGAGCATCAGCCAATGGGAAACTTGTTCTACTTTGGAAAGATCTCCAACACCCTCTTTTTTTCCGCGTGAAAGTACCACGTACTCTGCAAAATCATCGGTTTTAACGGAGGGGCTGATGATTATCGGCGCACATGTCGTGCGACACACACGAGTCGAGAAATGTGCACGGCTTTTGTGCGGTCCACTCCCGAAGGTAAAAAAAAAAAAGAAAAGGAACAAGACGAGGTCCATCCTTGCACTTGGCAAACGGCCACCCCTTATACTGTACGGCGTAGAAGGCGAAGGTAAAAAAAGGAAAAAAAAAAAAAAAAAGAAACAAAGAAAGACGCGGTTGCAACGACCAAGAAATAGAATAGGGAGGAAGAGTTTTATTTGATTGGAAAAAAAAAAAAAAAAAAAAAAAAAAAAAGTGGCGGCTCCCTCCGTAAGGTGTAGATGTACACAATGAGCCCTCCACCCTCTGTATATTTCAAGGAAAAAAGGTACACGGATACAGACCCACTCACCGATGACTAGAGGAACAACGCACGCGTATGTTACATATAGGACACAAGTGGGTATACCTAGACGCGCACACGTTCACCCTCCTCCTCCTCCTCATTCTTTTCTTGCTCTCCGTTGCCGCGGCTGATGTGTGTTTGCGCACGTATTATATTATTATACGTGTGGCGGCGACTGGCAGCCTATACCTACCTATCCCCTATATACACACACTCGTCCCCGTCTCTCTCTCTCTCTCTCTCTCTGCAGCTGGTGGTGTTGTTGTACGAGGCAACGCGCGCGAGGGAGCGAGAGGGAAAGAAGACCGGGAGGGAGAGAGAGAGAGAACACACCGAGCGTCGACCGACCGACTCTCTCGGGCTGTATAACATATACCCGCCAGTTCGGAGCAGCGGCTGCCGAGAGTCAGTCTACCGCGAGCTGCCGCTCGGAGAGGTGGAGTCGTTTGTTGTTTTTGCCATTTTTTTTGTCGCCCAAAGCAGTTATAACAATAAGATATTAATTATCAGCAAAGCCAATCATTCTCGCACGTGAGAGTAAAAAATAAAAATAAAAAATCAAACGCGTGTCGAAAGCTCAAAAACGGAGTTTCTCCTTTTCTTTTTGCAGTACCTATACTCGCCCACGTAGTACGAACATTTTACGCGTTATTTTATGCACGTTACCGCGTCGCAGTTGTGAATTATATCAAATCAAACAACAAGATCAAGGACCGTCACGTTTAGTTTCGGAAACTATACTCGCAAGCTCTCACCTCTGGATCATCGCTGTCGAGGTAGGTTTTGTCGCGTCTACATAGAACACTTGTTAAAAAAAAAAAAAAAAAAAAAAAGTCCAACCAATCGTTGGCTCGCTCCTTCTTTCGATATTCCAATTTTCTCTCTCAGGACTTTGTATAGCCTCCTCTCAGGATTCTGTGTCAGATCGCCTCTACTCCTCCGCGTGTACACACGTGAGCGACGATCTACGTATATAGGATACAACGTAAAAGAGGCGAGCGCGCGCAATTCGCGATCTTTGAAAACAATGTGTAGGTGTATACACGCGCTAAAGTATATGTAACGCGAAACACGTACGTACATACAAATAAAGAGAGTACGATGTACTCGGATTATATATATATATACACGCGATACCCTCCTTTTCACGCGGAGCTTTCTCCGCTTTTCCGGCTTTTTTTTTCATTTTTTTTTCTTCTTCTATCTACCCGATCTCCTCGCAACATCCAAAGACGCATTTGCACCTAGGTTGGCTCACATAATATATCGGGATGCAGAGATGTATAGGTTCGCGATGACAGTTACGACGATGGAAAAATCATATACATGCGAGAAAGAAGTAAGCGCGACTGCAACACCATTGACCACATATAATAATAATAACAATATATACCAACCCTACACACATGTACAGCCGGTGGTCAGGTGCTTGTGGTTCGTATACACATATCATAATAGCCGCGTATATAAGTACCCACGTGCGTATACGTAACGCTCGTACTGGTTTGCAATTCACTTTGCGTTAAATCATCCAATCGGACAAGTAAAATTTATATCGGAGCGTTAGTGGCCCCTTCCATACACAGAGAGAGAGAGAGAGCACGACATATCGATCTGTTTATCATACACACATACACGGGCAATTTAAGTGGCGCGTTATCTGGCAAACATGTATTTACCTATACTAAGTATATAAATTTACGTTGCGGAGGGTGCGCGAGGCAGCTTTGCTGGCCTATTACGGTGGATGTTGCACGTATACATGCACATACATACGCGTTGGGTCGATGCGCCGCGCCGACGAAGTTGCAGTGAAGTATATATCATATACTTACTGCAGAGAGAGGAGAAAACCGTACAGACGTTCGCGGGTATATGTGTGTTACATGGATGTTGCAAGTCTACGAGTGGTTACATTATTCGTGTATACGTTCACGAGAGCGCGCGTACGAATATTATACGATGTGCGTTTCTTTGCCCCTGCTCGTCATCGGTGTGCGAAAAAAAATGAAAGTGCGAGCAATCGATGATAAAGTATACAATGGACGATCGGTTTTTCGTGCAATACACCTTGTACGCGAACGACAGCGCGAAGCCGGGCTGTACATCGTAAAGTTCAGGGAGAGAAGGAGAGAGGGAGAGAAGAAAAAAAAAAAAAGCCAACGGCGGATAAGATAAACGCGAAATTAACCTGCAGAGCGACATCAACGATTGTGTGGATTATTGTATGTACTCGTCTCGTGGTATCGATCGGCACTCCGATGATTACCTTTTAGTCAGTCTTGCTCGCGACTCGCGTGCAAATCCGAAATTCTATACTCCCTCGTGTATGGATACAAGCGTAAATCCTTGGCTCGTCGTTCGGTGTAGGGGAAAACACACACACACACCCACGTTATACAAGAATATCAAGTATATAAATATGAGCGGAGAAGGAGCGCTTGGTTCGTCTCCTGAAAAAAAAAAGAGGTAAAAAACAAAACAAAAACAAAAAAATCGGCCGGTACTCGGCGCGCGCTTGGAATACTGGTCCTTTACGTAACGCTTGGCGCGCGTTAATTGCATAACCCATACCCACCGGCACGGATACTCGCTTATACGCTCTCGGAGTGACTTTTTTCTTCTTCTTCTCCTCCTCGCCGGAGGAGGAAGCGAAGGTAAGGGCGAGCCGGGATCTACGCTTATGTATACGTGTATCGCCTCAACTTTGAGTTTTGCGAGGGTATACAGCCGACGCGTTTCGATATTACACACACCTCGGGGAGGGAGAAAAAAAAGTCAGGGCACCTGATACAAATGTTCGATCTCCAATGTATATACCCATGACAATATACGCGAAAGTTGCAGATATTAAGAGCCGAGTTTGATCAACCGGACCGTGATCGGTATGTACACACCTACGCGGGAGCGCGTAATTTTTTGCGGGTATGAATGGAAGTTAGCGCGTCAGCCGTATACTGAAACGTATTTTCACACGTACAGGTACTTATTCGGCAAGTGTTAAAACGAGAAATTTTAAGTGCGATCAGGGGACGTAAGTTACTATAGCAAAAATCTACAGCCGCGATTCACGGGTAGTTAAGAATTAACCGTCTCCCGGCCTATTATCACGGCCCAATTATCACCACTCACGTATTCCGTCTCCCCCCGCGCCAGCAAACAAAAGCAGTCGGATGAGATAAACGACCTCTCTCATAACGCCTCGAGCTATCCGCAGATAGGCAAACACTCTACACGCGTTCGTATACGCGCTCTTGTCGCAGTAAAGTGTAATCACCGACTCTCTCTTTTTTCTTTGAAACTGCATCAACTGCAGTAAAACGATCGAAACGACGTATCAGACGTAATACATATATACCCTATATACGTGCCGGCCACTCGATAAATCTATACATACAAGTGTTCAGCGAATGAAAAGTCGTAAATCTCTCTCATGTCGCGCAAAAGTAGTCCTTGCTCTCTGGCGATGTATATTATACTCTCTATAGCGTGCTGTGTGGGATAACGTGTGTATGGTGCGCGAAGGAATTTTTGGGCTGCTTCCAAAAAAAAACAAAAAAAAAAAACAAGTTCTCCAGCCGAGGAGGTAAAGAGAGATGAGCTTTTTCTCGGATCAGGTGCGTTGTCTTCCCTCTCTCGCTTATATGTACGGGGCGAAGAACTGTGTCGATTAAGCGGCTCGGCGCGAAAACAATAAATTTTCGCTTCATCGCACGGCCGAGACGAGAAAGGCGGCGCCTACTGTGCTTTTTTAACTTTGCTGCTTCCTGCGACTTGATTATTGTTGTTTTTCTTTTTGTTTTTTTTTTCACACAACGACAGTAAACACTCGCGTGAAAAATACGACGACACAAGTTATCGAACGATGAGCAAACACGGCCCGAAAACAACGGGGTATACACCAACCGCGCCATCGCCCAAGAAAAGCCGCTAATGGAATAACAAAGCGGTTCTCGCGCTCCATGCAAATCGCATCATCCCCCCAAACCACTCGGTAAATTATTCACGCTCAAGCCCTATTCGCTCATCTATCGCTTGAACGTATACAAACGACAACCCCTGCCACTTGTCTCCGCAACAATTACTCCTATTTCCTCCGCCCTATCGGCAAAACAGACGCGCGTCCATCCAAGACCCACCCATGTACATGACGAGTCAGCCCGGCGAAGAAGAAGAAGTGAAAGTGGATGAGTCTCGGGCTCTTGTGTACCTTGTACGCGATATATGTATATGTATATACAAGTCCGAGCCGAAAAACCGCGAACGAGGAAGACAACGTTAAGGTCGCGGTGTCGCAAAAACGCCGTAACCATCAGCCAATATGATAAATCCCCCCCAACAAGTGGCTCGAGGTCGCTCTCGATCGTCTCGACCTTATCGACCACCCACGTACCTATACCTACAATAGAGGCTTTTGTGGGCTTTTAGAAGAATAATACTGCCGTGGGGGACTCTTCGGAGCTTTCGGCTGTCGGGCGAGATGAACGATTTCCCCCTCACTTTGAACTGCCCCCCTTGGGCCGCACAGAGATAGACTCCCCCCCCCCCCGATGAGAAAGAACAAGAGCACTGTCAATCAGAGTTTTTTCATTGTCATGCAAAGACAAGTATATTTGGAGGCCGTTGGTTCGTTGATTGTTTCGTCAAAACTGGGCGTATAGGTATGTGGGTAACTAAATAGCTCGTTTGCGGGGAAATTTGAGAGATTTGATGGGTACGAACGACCGTGGCCTCTCTCCCTCGAGCGAACGGGTCGTAAACCTTGGACGGGGCAAGCGTTTCGGAGAGCTCGTTATTATATGATCCGGGAGTAGAATCAATACCCCCCTGGGATCGAGGGGGGGGGGGCGAGTACTTTGGATAGCGACTCATTTGTACCGGTGACGATGCTGGCCGCAAATTGCAAAAGTGCACGAGTGCGTTACAAACAGGGCTGGCCCAACTCCAGTACACCCGTATAAGCGTATATTATACATAAGTGCATGAAATCCAAGGGTCGTTGGTATATGGTTGCGTGGGAGCTCGTGTTATCACGGAACGCGTATTAACCTGTACAACCGTTACAGGCGCATAAACGAATTACGAGTTTTTTTAAAGGTATTGTGCATACCGTTTCCGCACCAAATTAAGTCCCGCGGTTGCAGGTGTGTCCTGCGAAAACGTCGCGATCGTGCTGTACTGTGGTATACACGAATGAAAGAAAAAAGAAGGAAGATTACTCGAACAAACTCCAACGCGATCCAATTAAGAGAAAAAAAAAAAAAAAAAAGAAATACGAGCGACGGGGGAAGGGTGATAAGTTTGAGAAACTTTTTCTTCCCAGCCACTGTATGTCTTGTATGTACAGCTGTGGCATCCGGTTGCAATTGTATCCCTCACACGTGTGTACTTGTGGTACAAGGGTTGCGAACAAGTACAGCGTTTCGGCTACATTTCAGAGTCTACTACTTTGTCGCTACAGTTTTTCCGGTCTGTTACCACTATTTAGTATACACGCTCTTCCATCGTTACTTTGGATTGAGTAACAAATTTCTTCGTTTGCAGATTTGCTCTAGCCCCTTCCATAGTCGAGGTATGTACGCGACATGTGCCGCTGGCTTGATATCAAGCTAGCTAAACTTATCCTTTTTTTCAGTTCGGTAAATAGTAAAAAATTTTCCTTTTCAGCGACAAATTGTCCATAAATTTAGAAGTTGGGGTTGTTACTTGGTACGCCGCTATCTTGATACATGTGCAGGTACGTGCTGATATTGGTATATATACACCCGGAAAGTGTGTATCGTACAAAAAAAAAAAAAAAAAGAAGAAGAACGACCCATGAGCTCTCGGAGGTCGCGGTTTTTGCGATGTTAAAACTCATTTTCTATCCAATAGAAAAAGAAAAAAAAATGAGCGCGTGGGTAGATTTAAAAAAACGCACGCCATAGCCTTCCGAAACGTGCCTCGAGGCGATTGTTCTTCCCTAGTTTGAATGAAAGTCGCGTGCTACCTTAGCCGTGTTCTTTTGTTGCAAAGCTACATAAAGAGGAGGATAAACAAGCAGAAGCTAAAGACGGAGAACGTGGAGAGTTATTGGAAAATTATTCGGCCGAGTGCGCCTCACGGCTCCTTCGGGCGATTGCGCTTTCCCACTGCGAACTCCAGCCGAGTGTTTGTTGCGCCACACCTGCTTTGCGTTTGTTTTTTTATTTTAAACAACCAACGGGGGTGATGCGTCCTGTCCATGCGTGCATGGTTACCATATTATATGGTCGCGCGTGTATGGATATATATAGGTATCGAGGATGGGCTAAACAATTTCATCAGCTGTGCTAATAAAACAACACTTATAGTAGCGTGTGTCCTCGAGACTGTCGATTAAGGGAGGGTTGATCTTGCAGCGATTGACTAAAGAAGGTGAACGCTCGGTTGATCGGCCCGTGGTTTCTCTATATAACTCATCTTTGTATACACGACTTCACCTTCCTATGTGTATTACAGAGATCGAGAGTAAACGCAGGTATGCAGACCGGTATATTTAGAAAACCAGAGGACAGATGAATAATTCATCGACCAAATTTCATAAATAGACGTCGAGGCGATGGAATTTACGTCTCTGTTTGTTGCCCACGATCGGCAGTAATTATTTGCGAAAGAGAAAATGCATTTTAGATGGGCATTGAAAAATAATAATTGCATATACCGTGCGGTCTCGTCGTCGACCAACTGATTTTCCTTCGGCGACTCACCTTCGAACGAGTTCACACGGGGCTGGAATGGAAACTCATCTCATCGTTTTTTTTAAAATCTGCCCGGCAATTCATCCCATTTCACCACAAAATACGAATTCAGAAAAGCCAAACCAAACCCCGAAGCCAACGACGACGAAATGCACAGGTTAAATTTAACTCGCGTATACACGGCCGCGACGAACATAAATTAAGATCAGGCGGCAGGTGCTTCGCGGAAGCTCTAGTGGGTGCAAGAGAAGAAAAAAAAAAAAAATGGCACACGCCACGGAGTCGTGGAGGAAACTCTCCCACCGACCATTACAACCGGATCGCCGATTAAGCGTCTCATGTGGTCTCGTATCGCAAACACAAATAACCCCCTCCCCCGCCAGTTCGCACGTTGCCGATCCACGTGATCGGTATGGTACTCTCGTATATGCCGTGAAAAAAAGGCCGCGAGCGTCGCCGAGAAATAGGTTATATGTAGAGGAAAAATTGGAGGATGTTACGGCAACTCGGTTCAGAAGGTCGTGCGGGACTCGTTGATAGTTTAGCGGCCGGCGACTTCTGTTGCGGACCGATCTTTGGAGGGCAACACCGGACCAAGTGGCGCAACCGGGCCGCAGGGGTCTTGTACATATCATCAGCGTTTATCAATTCTTCTGGAAAGGGGGGAGGGGTCAACATAAAAATACACATCATCAACACGCAAAGTCGATCGTATAATATACACGTTTACCGCGAATCATCGTCTCGTGTATGTTTTCCCGGTCTTATTTTTAATGGCCGGTTTTTTCGAGCCACGATGATTTGGCTGGAATTAAGATTCGAGAAAAAACGAAATTACGAGCCAATTAGCCTAAACAAGTAAGTAGGTATACCCATACTCATGCACAAAAAACTCGACTGACGTGTTTGTCTCCCGGACTCTGTTGATCCATAGTAGCGCCAGTCGCGCATATAATTGTCGTATTTATCGGGACCTAATAGCCACCATTAGTTTTCAGATGAAACCCGCGAGCGAGTACATTAGTATTCGCGTCGAAATTTCGCAACTGCGGAGGGGCTATTTCGCTTTATCGACATCCTCGCGTAGAGGCGTTAAATTTTACGTTTACGACTCGTAAGTTCGAGGTGTTTATGTTTTCGCGCGCGTACACGAGAAAGCCATTCAAACGAGTGGCAAAATTAACGTGGCCCCGCTAATCGACGACACCACGATCGTTTGATGAAAATGACGCGAGAGGATAACGACACGATATGTTGAGAAAACTTTTCCATTGGTAAAAAAAAAAAAAAAAAAAAATATATCATATTTTCTACAGAATTTTCATTACAATCACGCGCAGAGCAACTTCCGGGCAAGCTACAACTTTGGCCAACTTTCGCGAGACTGCGATAATGCATGCGATAACTTTGCAAGCCGTGCGATTCCCTTGGATCATAATTTCTCCCCCTCTGTTTCTCCGAGGCAAGAAAATTGTCGACATCTTTGGTATGGATAGGTGTACCACTCGAACTAATCCCAACTGGTGTATTGGCATGTTTCAGAAGGGCTGATGTGAGAGGAGGGATCCATCGAGGAAAGATGCCCGGCCACCGCCAGCCCAGCTCCCTCGAGGCCCTGAGCCTGGGGCGCGTCTGCCAGGTGCTGGACGGCACCTGCCGGCGACTGCAGGCCTGGTCCCTCGAGACCTCGGTCGCCTCGGTGATCGTCTACGCGAAGCAAAGCGTCCGCCCGTACTTTGCCAACGCCCTCACGGCCCGTCTCCGCTCGCAAGTCATCGAGGAGACGACGCGCATGCTCTTCGGGCCCTCCACGGACGGCTCGACCCTCATTGCCGGCCCTGCCCCACTGTACCTGCTCGCCCTCCTCCTCGGCCACGACATCAAGCGGCTCAAGGTCAACATGTGCTGCTACTACGGCTGCAGCCACCAGACGGCCATACTCCGGCTCCTGGCCAGCGAGGGCTCGGGCCTCGAGTCCCTCGAGCTCGCCCGCTCCGCCCTCCTCGGCCTCGACATCAAGCTCCTCGGCTCCGCCCTCCTCAGCATGAAGAACCTCCAAAAGCTCACTCTGCGCAACATAGCCAACGACGCTGTCCTCCAGATAGTCGGCATGAACTGCCCGAGGCTGGTCCTGCTGGACGTCGCGTGCTCCCGCCAGGTCACCGACGCCGGGCTCAAGCAGCTCCTGCTCTACGCCGAGTTCCGCGACAGAGCCCAACTCTCGCAGCCCACCACCACCACCACCACCACCGAGTCTCTTTCTCCCGCCTCGTCGTCGTCTACGTCGCGCTGGTCCAGGTCGTTCAAGAGTCTGTGGTCGAAGCTGAGGTTCCGGGCACCGGGCACAGGTGGCCAGGGTGGCACCGTCAAGCACGCCGACAGACAGCAGGTCCTGCTGTACCACTGCGAGAGCAAGAACCCGCTGTGCAACACCCTGCGCGTCCTCAACGTCGCCAACACGGGGGTGACGAGCGCCGGGGTGTTGTTGGCCCTGATGCACGTGCCCCGGCTCGAGTCCCTCGCCGAGTACTCGCACATGGGCAGGGTCGTCGAGATCATGAAGCGCGGCGTCATCGACTTCAAGCGGCCGTTCAGCCTGACGCAGGTGCGCAGCTGTCGCACGACCCCCGGCCGGCTCGAGCTCCTCGCCCACGCGTGCCCCCGCGTCGAGAGGCTCCACATATCCGAGCCCCACCACCCGCCCGAGGCCCTGCGGCTCTTCCCGCACGTGGCCTCGCTCAGCGTCCACGGCATACCCGTGCAAAAGCAATGGCTCGAGGGCTTCTACGGCTACCTACGGACCCACGGGCCCAACTTGCGCGAGCTCGACCTACGGGTCGCCCAGAGCGACGCGCCCCTCGACATCGATCTCCGCGAGATATTCGCCAGCTGCCCGAACCTGCGGGCCTTCACCAAGGACGGCTCCAACGTCGTTTGGTCGCCGGGGCCGGACCCACCTGCCCTCAAGTGCCTCAGGCGCGTCCAGGTCGGCAGGAAGGTCACGGCACTGGGCATCACCAAGATCCTGTCGCTGGCCCCTGAGCTGAAGGCCCTGCACGTCCACAGCTGCTTCGACCTGACCAACGAGCAGCTCGAGCGGCTCCTCAGCGAGCAGCCTCGAGCCGCCGTCCATCACCGGTCCTCGAAACGCGGCGCTGGTGGGCCGGAGGGTGGGAACAGCCTCGTGCGGAACCTCGAGTGCTTCTACATATACGAGGCGAGCAAGATATCCGCCGCGACGGTCCTTAGTATGTTCAAGAGCTGCGGCGGCCTGAGGAGAATCGGCAACCTGGCCAACTGGGGCCTCGACTGCGAGGGCGTCAAGACCCTCCGGGGCACCCTAGCCAAGGCTAACCTCGACGTCGACCTGTGCCCCGGCTCCCACTGGTTCTGGAGCGACTGCATACAGTAGCTAATCAGCCCGACTCGGAGCAGGTGAAAGTTCACCGCGACGTGTGAAAGTTTACGAGGAAAAAACAAACAAAACAAACAAACAATAATCTCGCGCGCTCGGTCCAAGAGATTAGAATAGCTGCCATTAGCCTGTAATTAAGTATAATTATGTCCTCCGACAAAAAGCAGACTGCAAATTCATCAGTATTATTCGTACTATGTGTATAAAGATGTATCGAGAGGCGAGAGAGGGAGCGTGTGATAACGATGAGCGCGCGCTCGCGAAACGGGACGGCTCCTCTCGCCGCGGAAAAGAAAGCAGAGGTGGAGAGGAACTCGATTCGAGAGAAAGGTCTTCTCGTTTCGTGTGCGTGCACAATACTTAATATGGCCGATTGTCTCGGCGTGCGGGTTGTGCGTTAAAAAAAAAAAAAAAAAAAAAACGATTATTATTCGTTGTTGCAGTGTCATTGATACATATATAAAAAGTGCGCTCTGCCACTGGTACGATTGTAATATTCGATGAAGGGTGTGGAAAAAAAAAAAAAAAAAAAGTATACTCCATATACACACGCGCACAAGCTACCGTTGTACAATCGTAGGTGTATAGCTTAGCTCGTAAGACGTATCCATACATGCGATTATGTCGTTACGAGCGGTTTACTCGCTCTATACGGCTCGTCATTAATATAGGGTAGTTTGTTTGTACACGTATCGCGCGCACAACGACAAATTAATAATCGTCACGCTCTTACGTGTAAGAGGTGCATACGATGTGGCGATAACAATGATTAATGAAATCGAAAAGTAATAATAGCAATAAGAATAATAATAATAACAATAATGAGCAATAAACCTTGCAATGTTACGATACGCGCGCGACATCGTTCCTTATCACGATATACATACTATTGTGTCGTTGTACGGATGAAAACTACTTTGCACCATATATGTATATACTCTATAATCACGATGTATATTGTTATCGAAAATCGATTTTTTAAATCCTCATCCCCTTTTCTTTTTCTTTTTCTTTTTTTTTTTTTTTTTTTTTTTTTTAATCCATGGTGATGAATAATAATAATAATAAAGTCTCATTATCGTAACAGCACATCCATGCGTGTTTTGATGATTTCTCGAAAAAAAAATCCAAACGAAGCCAAATAGTTGAGAAACGATACGTACCTCCGTCAAACCGTGGGACTGCAGGAGCAGGTTGACCAATTTCGTGTCGGTCATGAAGATCTTGTACGTCATGTGAAGCTGTTTCGCGGGCGGGTCTTCCGGAGGCTCGGCCAGTGCCGAACATCTGCAAACACGCAAGTGAAGAGGGGCATCATAAAAAAAAAAAAAAAAAAAAAAAAAGTAGAAAGTCGCAAAGTCAACGCAAAGTCGGCGAGATTTTCACTCGTCGCTAATAAGGAGGTGAAAATGTGGGTATACGCACTTGAAGCGCAGCATCGGGCTTTTGCTGTTGCTCGGGCCACTCAGCAGCCACTCGTTCGTCTGGCTGCTTCTGTCCTTTGCTTTGCTGCAAATCAAAAGTACTCGTTTATATTTATTTCGATTTGTCGCATTGAAAGTAACAGTTGGATACAAGTAAGTATGTGGTACATGGCAGATGAAAATCTCGAATATCCTCATTTGATACCTTTTGTTCTCACCATTAACGAATGACGTTTCGTAAAAAAAAAAAAAAAAAAAAAAAACTACGTGACCCACATGACGAAACCACCAGTACATCATATTATACCAACAAAATAGGGCGTCCAGTTGTACTAAACAGCCAACGACGGGGTAAGGATGGAACGGCCAACACCGAGCAAGTAAGCAAGTGTACAGGATACATAACTACACCCGTGAGTTCGGGACCATAAAAAAAAGGAAGAGAGACGCTCTCGCGGAAGCGCCGTAGTAGCCGCTGCTTTGCATACGCCGAAGGTCCCCCCCGAGCGTGATGGCGTAAAGCGCGCAGGTGCACGCGTTGAAATGCGGAAAACGAATAATCGCGACGGGCGCGCGCGTGAAATTTTAATGCCTTCGAAAGAGGAGGAGAATGGGAAATGAACAAAAAAACAAAAAACAAAAAAAAATAAAAAAAAAAGGTAACTGCGTATACGGACACGGGGGCCCCGGTAAGTAATCGACCCTTTATCTCTCCTGTCGAGTGAAAAAAAAAGCGCAAGCGTAGGTGGCCGGACTCTTCCGCTAAAAATCTACACGTTCGGCGACTCCCGGGTCCCTCTCTCTCGCTTTTTTTTCTTCTTTTTTCTCCCTCATCGGAAATTCTAATCCACGATGCGGTGGTTAATTGGCTCGCGGGAATTGAGAGTAAGTGCCTGCAGGAGGGAGTGGATACCTCTCGGATCGTAAACCCAATTATACGCGTCGCTCTCTCGTTTCCGGTTTTATACGTACATATACACTTTAATCTTCACGTAATTTATTTCATCGAATTGGCCTATTCGTTTTTTTTTTCGTTTCGAAAGGATATTTTTTAAATCTCATTGTTATGTTTGTCAAAATGCAACGTTGTCCGAGTTAATTATTAAATAGCTGAAAAATATTTTATCCTCAGCAACTGAAATTCGTCAGGCTAATTATAAAAAGATTAATGGGTATTTATACGCACACCGAAAGAAAATTTCTTAGAAGCAAGAAACTATTTACTAGAATAAAATAAGATTAAATTGTCTTGCTTCACCACAACATTTATTTGAAACTCCGAAAATATTATTCATGTAAAAAAAGCAGTGCCGTATATCAAGAGAATATTTACTTGGCACTATATACTCGAGTAAACATTTTCTAGGTTTCAAGAAATTTTTTTTTTTCTCTGCGTGTATCATATCCGCGATAACATTCTTTTAATCCGTGGTTGAACAACTCGAAAAAAGAGTAGGTGTTGTTTTATGGTTTAGTAGAGCACGTACATTTCCCACCTGAAAAACTTATGAATATCATTTGAATAACAACTTTGATGCTTTTTAGCGTATGATTTCCTCAATTCATTTACTTGTTTTTACGTACGTAAGTAGGTACCTAAGAACCTGAATTTCTGCTTTGACGATCAACTCGCGGCCTTCGTTGCACAATAAATATTTAATTGCAAACGCGTTTGAATGAAAATCCAATTAATAATATCCCTTTTTCTATCCTTCAAAGAATCATATCCTGTTACTTTGTTATACATCTTTTTTTTTTTTTTTTTTTTTTTTTTTTTTTCTTGACAAGTTATTACGCTGCGCAGTTTCGCGTGGGTTTTGAGTGCAGCGTTTTAACAACCCGAGATATTCGTTGTGCAATTGTTGGTAATGTTGGTACGCGAGACGCGCATCTATTGTAACACATGCGTATAAGTATATGTGTACGTGGTTAAAAGTTGGGAAACAAATGTGCGAAATAACAACGTAATGCCAAACAATGAAACATTTACTGCTTCTCCATGAAATTCCATCGAGAGAAATCATCCGCGAAAATTGCTGTAATCGTGAAAGTAGGTAAGTATGTTGTCCTACCAAAAAAACAAACCGCGATGTTAATGTCTCGTACACGCGTCTACGCGTAAATTTATCATGACATTACTATATTTATTATACACCCTTCTATGGGTATTATGGCTGTTCGATTACATACTTACCCACCGCGGCTAATCGATATGGCGAGCTAGAGTAAGTAGTGTAAGTAGTACATGTGGGTGTAAGCATAGAGGCCGGTTGTCATTTGTCATAATATATATCTGCCCATATAGATGTATACAGCAACTTGGGTAGCCCGAGAGCTGGCGCCGCCTCTGGGGTAACTATTAATGTCGGTAAGAGAGGAATCTTTGCGAAAAGACTCGAGCTGTCGAGAAAGAGCGTGGAATTGTTTTCCCACTTGTGCGCGGGAAATTTTATCGCCGAGAAAAGGCTGGTTAAAGGTGCTGCTCCTGTTATATACCAATGAAAAAAAGGAGACTTTACGCGGTCGATGCTCCCTTCCTTTGTTTTTCTTTTCCTCAACTATACTACGAGGTTTCTCGAGATTTCATGGGCGAGATGATTAACGGGTGTATACACATTACAGGCTATTGGCAGCTATCTAATCTAATCAGTCCAGCGCGCAACAACTGGTCGTGCCCCCCCTCAATGAATAATGTGTTCAGCTTGTACCCGACGGGGTCAAGAAACTCGTTGGGCACAGACAATCCGGTCTCGATTAAAATTTCCCATTTGTGAACAAATGCAGGACGGACAAACTCATGATTTCGATTGTTGTGCAAGTGACATTGGAAAAAAGGCACCAGATAACCCCACGATTGACTGGTAATTGTAATAATGGCCGGTCACCTGTCCGTCTTATCGGCACCGTTCGGCTTGTGATGGACAAACGGCTCGAGAGCTTCCTCGCTGCTGTTGGACAGTTGCGACATCCCAGACAGGCTCGAGGACGACATCAGCTGCTGTTTCGACCGTCTGTCGTCCTGCAGCTTTCCCGTCGTCAAGCTCTTCATCTGCGTCAGCATTTTGCACCTGCAACAATTGGAAAAATCGTCTCTTACAGAATGGATGTACCACTCTCTCGACTAATACGATTGAAATTCATAAAGATATTGCAAATGATCGAACATATGGGTATAGGCACTTGTGGAATGCCGGGGGAGGAAAAATCGGTACCCACGTGAGTCGATCGGGTGATGGATGGAAAACTATGTACCTTATAAGTAATAGGGTATGGTACTGAGAAAAATATAAGTGACTATCGATTTCGTGCGTACGTTATACTTGTGTACTAATGGATCGACCGTCGCCGTTATTGAGTCCGAAGGTCAGCTAATTTTCAACCGAAAGTGACACGAATGGCGATCGATAGAGGAACGTTGGAATACCGTAATGCCCGAGCTTTGGCTTACCTGTAGATCGATTCAAAAAATGAAATAAAAAAACTCAGTCAGGCACGCGAGAGAGTGTACATTTCCCTCTCTTTTTTTTTTTTTTTTTTTTTTTTCAAACTCAAACCTATACATAAACACTTTGCATTTTCAGCGATACGTATCGGACGAAGCGGAGCCGGTGCGTTTTTACGGTTGGTTCTCGAGCACACGAATAAATCGACTTATCAACTCGGGCATACCAGCTGATAACAATGTTGTGTACCTGTACGAGGTATACATTATACTTTGACACAGCTGCTACTGTTACGGGTTATATTTATTCGTGTTTCTGTATACCCTCGAGATTGTTTTTCTTTTTTCTGATTATACTTTGATACGCAACTGACTTTGCTGTATTCTCACCAGTTCTCTTCGATCGCATACATAGCTGTGTCACGATGGAAGGAATAAAGGAAAATACCAATGACCCACTCGAGCGATGGTTAATCCGAAAACTATTGCGACCAGTCTCGGGACAATAGAAATACTTAGGAGAGGAACCACGTGTGTAAGTTTATGTACTTGTAACTGTAAGGTTGTGCCTATAAGTGTATTGTATAGTCGGGGCGCGCGTGCCGATCAAGGAACTCTAACTCGGCCGTGCAGCTCGCCTTAGCTGCTTCCGATCGAAGAAACTAAACTCCCCCCCCCCCCATGTCCCGCCAACGCTGTCGACAGTGTCGACACTCGTTATATTATTTCGCTCGCGCACCTATGAGCTGACGTGTCTATTATATTACAATATACACGCACGCGATAAGCTTGTGGCGAAGGTTTGCCGCACACCCTCGACGCGATGAGCCCACGATTCGTCTCGAAATTGACACTCTCTGAAGTATACAATGTTCAACGCGAGAATTCGCGTGTGCACGTGAGCGGTGAGGGGTATTGCGATTGATTATAGCCCATTACCGGAAACGATTGTGTGTCACGATTCACCATCACCGCCTGATCAATTTCACCGAGGTTGTGCATCGCAGCACCGGGTATGACTGTATACATAGTATATATATATATATGTGGGTTTCGGCGTATCGTAATAATTGCATGCGCACGCGACATTAAAAAATTTATCAGGAGCATTGGAAGATCGTCCAAAGATGGCATTGAATTTCACCCCGCGCTCGAACTACTTTTAGCAAAATCAATTGCCTGGTTGTGTATGGACATGTGCGCCGAGTAACCCTTGAGGTCGCCCTGCATTTATACGTACAGTTTTCTTCAAGCCCGCGATCGTGGCTCTTTTTACTTCTCGTTATTAAAAGCAAATGTACTCGAACGAAGCCCGCGATACGAGTAAAATATATACGACGGCTGCCGCAGCCCAACCTTAAATGGTGCGCCCTTCGCAAGACCAAAGTCGCGTGAGGGGGAAGAATGACTCACCTCACGGATCCGATGGTGCGTGGCTATATCCCAACGCGGACGCGGTTTACGTGATTAACGTGCTCAACCGCGAGGGGAGCTCTCCTCCTCTCTGTATCGTGCAGGCACATCACGCTCGTCCCCATCCCTCCTACGTTTTTTTTCCTTTCTCTCTACATTACAATGGCACGAGACGGAGGAGGAGACGGTCAAGTGTATAGTCGATACTGCACCGCTTGGGATTTCGCGGTTAGTTAAAAAAAGGAGGGGGGAGGGGGGGGCGATCGGCACATTCTTTCTGCAGCTTCTGGGGATTTTCAAGCTGCCCAGACTGTGCTTATCGAGGGACGAAAATATGAGAGCAGGCGATGATAAGTATGGGTACGAGCCTCATTCACGTGTATACACGAGTCCGTTCCGCGTGATGGGCGAATTCCGACCCAATCGTACCAATGCGCCGTTTTGTTTGGCGATGCATAACTCAACGCCGCGTATTATTTTTTTCTCACGGTAATCGGCATGTAATATACTTATCACCCCATCGGCGATCCGATCTGCGGCAGATTTCACTCGTCACATATAGCCTCACTTTTCGGTGGACAAAAAAAAAACATTCCCACACGTGCAAGGAACCCCAAATCTTCGACGTAGACCCGTGCTTCCGCCACCCCCCCCCCTGGTTTTTTTTTGATAACCCGATCAAAATTTCCCGTCAACCGATCCTCGCTAAACTCGCGAACGGTGCCGCAAGAAAGAAAAAAAAATAAACAAAAACGCCAAAATTCCGCGAAGCAATTCCAGAGCGAACGATGAGCCGGCCCCGATGGAGGCCACCAACCACAGTAGTAGCAACGGCTACACGCCCCGGACCATCTTAACGCGAAGCTGCTGCGGCAAAAAGAGGTGCCCCAGTCGTCGGCGGCGCGCAACAAGAGTCGCGGGAGTCGAGACGCGCCTCGCTTGGCTGAGGCACCGGCCCAACTTGCTGTCGCTCCCGCGCGAGATCCACTTGGCCATACTCGGCCACCTGGGCTCCTGCGACCTGCACACCATGCGCCAGGTGTGCGTGTACTTTGAGGAACTGGCCCGCGACCCCATGCTCTGGAAGGACTACGAGGTTCGTTTCTCCACTGCACCCTTGGGTACACACAGGTATATACATTTTGGGCCTCGGTTGCGTGCCCCACACCCCTCCCCCACAGGTAATCGACAACGTGATCAAGACCAAGAGCGTGATCGGCGACCTCAAGCGCATGCCCTTCCTCAAGAAGATCTGCATAAGCAACAGGTCCGACTGCGACGACATTTTGCGACAGATATCCGTGTCCAACAAGAACTTGGAGCAACTGTCCGTCGTTAATTGCACGGGTACGTGCCATTGTTCGCCATCACTGTGTACACGTACTTGGGGATGGGGTAACAATTACAAGGGAACATCATGTTGTATAGGTTCAACCTCGGGCCTGTACCTCAGGGCGAACAACCTGACGCGGATAGCCAAGCGTTGCCGGCGGCTGCACACCTTCCAGGTCCTGGGGACGCGGTTCCGGGGCCTGAAGCTCTTTCGGATGATGGGGGAGGCCGGGCCGAGGCTGCGGACGCTCCTGGCGACGACGACGAGCGCCCAGTTCCGGGCGTTTGCCCGACACGCGAGCCACGTGGCCGAGAAGGACCGCAAGCTCCTGGCCGCCCTGCCGCGCAGGCGACTCGCCACGATGCAGTACAGGGCGCTCGCCGACTCGCGGATCACCCTCACTTACGAGGACAGGCTCCTCGGTATGGTCGACCTCGAGCTACGGGCGGTCGGGGCGGAACTCGACAGGCCGATCGCGGTGTCTAGCTGCCAGGACCCGCCTAAGCACGACCCGTGACCCGTGTTTTCATCATTTATGTCCGGTTACTCGTCCTCCGGTGCACCCGTCGCTTATCTGTGTGTGCGTAAGAGCGCCAAGTGGTCCCGTTGTATGGAAAAGTTGTATTTACTTGTGTGCAGTGGCGTGTCAATAAAAATTTGGCCTCGATTCCTCCGTGTGCTTTCAAGGCTTACTAAAGACTCGGTGAAAATCCACTCGGTAGAGGCGTGAAAATTAAACGGGGTCTCTCGAGTGGCCCCCCCCCTCCTCTCATTTTTCTTCTTACTCTTTGTACAGCTGTGGTGTTTGATCGATTTGCCGGTGGGGTTTGTAGAGAAGGAAAAAAATTATAATTTTACCGTCTCTCGGTTTTTGCTTTTCGGTATATGTAAGCACGCGAATGGTGCTTCAGAAAAATCAAATTATACCGGTGCTTCGCGTTGAGTTACAAGGTCGTGATTATTTCGAGACGAGCGAGCGGAAAATCGTTTTGATAACGCTTATTTTTCTATACAGTACTTGACGCGATGAATTTGGCGAAATACCAGCCGACGTTGGCGTTTCTAGGGTATATAAAAAAAAAAAAAAAAAAAAATGTCTCTTTCGTACATGTATGGATCGTTCGTACATTCAGGAAATGAAAATAAAAATTTCCATCTGAAGACAAATACCTAACAATTATTCAAAGGCCTTATTGTTTTTCATCACTATAAAAAAACAGCGGGGATTGTAAAAAAAGAGGGTATGTATATAAAATTGAATAATGCAAAGTGTAGGTAATATTAAAACATGTCGCGCAAACGTATACTAAACGAAATTCCAACTTTTGTACGTATTGACACGGACGTTCAAGACATTAGCAGTTTGTCGTCCCGAATAGCTTCCCATTCCTCTGTATCAGTGTAAGCAATGGTACAGGGACTCCACACAGTCCACACCTGCATACCAAGAACCAACGACAAAGTTTGAACGGCATGAAAATCGCGGCTAAACTTTTGCTCGCCTGCACGGTATTATTTGGCCAAGCCACGAGGAAGGATATTCTTCTTATGTGCAGTGTACCTTAGGATTGTTTCGTAAGTTGTCGTGTTGCAAGTAACAAAGTTAAGGGCATCAAACGAAATTAAAAACTTTGCCGGTTGCGTTTGCTCCTCAAACGAGGGACGAAAGTTTTGATGTGACCCTGTAATTAAAGTCTCCCCAGAGCTCACGGGGTAGGTATAAACGCGAATGAATAGGGAGATTTCTAAATTAAAATTCACACTTCTGCACTCACATCCATCTACACGTCTGCGTTCCACACATCTACAAATCGATGCTCATGCTCTAAGGAAGGGCTAAAAAAGCAGTATAGCGCACACGTCGACAATAGCAAAAAAAA